GGGGGGGGGAGGGAGAGAGAGAAAAAAGAAGGACCGGGGAATGTAAGAGGGGAAATAGCTAAACATCCACAAAGAAAACAGCCAAAACATTAGCATCAAAAAAAAGCAACAACTACTTTTCTTCTATTTTCCAGTCTTCTTCTTTGCCTTTTCAAATACAACAAGTTTGTCCTATTCTTTTCCATTTAATTACAAAAATGCCTAAATGTTGTACAGTTTGGTGGAATGACGAATATTGTTTGCTGTCCAGTTGGAAAGCTATAATTACCCGGATGAGCCAAGATAAGTGATGGAAGGCAGAGAGGAAAGTTTAAAGAAAATGCCAAAATAGAACCGATTGTCTACTAAACAATAAAAAAAAATTTTGTTTCCAAATAGATGTCAAACCCAAAAAAAAAGAAGAAGAGAAGTGCCGAAGTAAAACTGATAACAAAAAGAAAAGTATTAACCGCTTCATTTTTTTGCCATTTAGGGTGACCTGTGATGCAACGGCGAACAATAGTTCATGATCGTTTTCAAAACGTTCACGTATTTCACGTTGAAAATACTGAAAACACTTAGTTTCACTGTTTTTTTCATTAACTTGGATATATTCGTAAATAAAAGTTATGCACAACAACTTCTAAGAATCTCAACAACGAACAGTTTGACACAGCTGAATGTTTAACACTGTACCAACTTGAAACCAGCAACTAAATGAACTCGTCGTTCGTTCAAAAAAAAAAAAAAACAGAATATATTGTTGTTGTTGCTGATCATACATATAGACACTTTAAAATTTATCACTTACTTTTAACATTCCTTCCATGTCCAATTTTAACAAATCTATCCGTGCTTGTTGTAAAATTGCAACAGCTATCCTGAAGATACATTCCATCCCCTAAAAAGCATTGTTTTTGCTAAGATATCATTAAAGAGAATTATTAAATAAGATCCAAAAATAGAAAAAAAAAACAAAAGAAAATAAGGATGAAGCTAAAATATAATTTAAGAAATAAAGTACAACTATTTATTGCCATCATTTGTTGTAATAACGACAACAACGGAAACAAAAAACAAAAGCTATTACTGAAGTTTCGACAGACGATTATACTACTGTAATGAAAAATGTTTATTCTCTAAATGTTATGTATAAACAACAACAAGAACCCCCATTCCTTCCCCCCTCCCTTCCCAAATAAAAAAAAACGACAAAAAAATTGTTTTTTTCTTTCTGTGGCACAAAACAGATAAGAAGAACATAATATGATCTAAATTTTAAATTGTATAATTTGGATAAATGAAGAAAAGCATTAACAGTTTAGATCAGTTTGTTCTCTTGCTCCCGTTTTCTTCCACTTCCTAATTTCTAGTGGCTATTAATCTACTTCAAAAAATCATCATCAGCAGTATCATTAGATAGAAAAAAGAATAAATTTTCCTTCTTTGTTAGATAAAAGAGACCAAAAACTTTTTTTCTTCTCCATATGATTAGTTGTATTTACCTCAACAAGAAATACATCCATTATGCGATTTGTCAGATCCAACGGCAATGTTGTGGTAAAAAGTGTTAAAAACCATCCACTGGCATACATACTCGTATCAAAACCCATATTATTAAAATGCATATGCAGATCAGGCATTTGTTCCTGTATAAACATATATAACAATTTTTTTCCTGTCTCTTAAGTGTTACATAATTTTGTTTAAAATTAATGATAAAAAACTAAATTGCTTCTTTCTTCCATTTTTTTGCTCTTCTTCTGTTTCACAGGTATTATTGCTTTTGTTAATAGAGATTTTAAAAAATGAGTGCTACAACAAACAGTCGTGACTGTTAAAAAAAAGCAATTTTTTTTGCTCGATTAATGCAAATATATTATATGAGATAGGTATTAAACCGAAGGATAAGAAAGAAAAGAATCTGATTTTGAATAAAAAGTAGAGTTTACTTTTTTCTGTTTGTCTGGTTGTCTGGGATTTTTTCCAGCTTTTAAAAGATTATAATTGAAACAAATAAACAAACAAAGTATTAGTATTTGTATTGACAGATTTAAAAATTTTTTAAACTCATTTATGGCCCACTTTGCTGTTTTCTAATACTTCTTCTAGCTGTCTTTTTACCTGTACAAGGCACTCCAACTGAAACATACAAAGACCGAGTTCAGTCATCGCCGGTTTATACAGCTCTCGTAATCTGTATAGCTCCATTAAACGTACAAAAACCGCAAATGCTTCTTCTTCTGGCATCTACAAGTATTTGCCTGTATATTTTAAATTTTCATTT